AGCAGTGGTCATGCACGATGTCAGAGGGTCACGCAAGCAACATGAGTTATGAGCCAGGGACGTTGACTACCCTAAGCCAACATACAGGGATGTGTAAGCTGCTTAGTTAAGGCATCCTAGCAGTACTCTAAAACATCCTTTGAAAGCTCTTACCTATCTTCATGCCACCACACAAAGAACTAAGATTACATCTGCAGGAAAACCGGATCACTCTTAAATCAGACGCCCTACTCCCAAACCAAGCACGGAAGTACGCGGGTTGGCTGACGCCCCTGCCTACGACGAGACGCCGAACGTTAATAAGCCTCACAAACACTAAGGTAAGCAAAGCAATTTGCAGAATCAAACCCAGGATCAGACCCCTGGGACCATTCAGGATTCGAGGGGGGTTATTTCTCTGGGAGCTGGATCACCCCAGGCGGCCCAGCCACCACCACCATAAAATAACTCTTTTGAAGAGCTTGGTGGAACAGTTTCAAAACGCCCAACAGGAGCAGATACAGAAGCATGTTACACACTTTCACGCCACACTGCAACAGGTAAATCACCCAGGAAAGGACAAGTGAGCAACTGTTCAATAAATGTGTATTTTAAAGGGGTCATGTAATTAAAAAAAATAGTAATAGCCACCGAACATCTTCCCCCAGTTCTTGGAAATACCCCAGGTCAAGATCATGCTTCAGCCCCAAAGGGAAATGCTTTACAACATTGGACAACGCAGACACATAAAACAAGCTTTTATGCAGTCTTAATTACTATTGCAACAATGAGGCTTGGGACATAATTCTACAAAAAGTAACAGGTAACTTCAGAGACTTGTGTTAAGTCAACTTTTACTCTGTGAATAAATTGCAAAGGATATTATTTCTGGGACAGAATAAATTCTGGAAATTAGTGAGTAACTTATGCATCACTCCCCTGCTCCAAGAACACATTATTTATTTTTACCATGACATAGCAAAGTTATTAATCCGCTGCCTTCCATTTCAACACCGTGAAACGCTGTAAAATGCACAGACACCTGCATTACAGTACATTTCAGTTCCACTTTATATCAGTCATAAACATCTCTGTTTTGGACATCTCTTCAAAACAAATGCTCCAAGCACACTGTGCGTAGCATTTGATTTTATGAAACTATAAAAGTTCTTCACTGTTAATTACACAGACAAATGTCTCATCACACATTTGGTTACCAGGATAATATAATTAGTTTTCTACATTAACCTTTCAAACACAGAGCCTGAATTTCAAGTTGAAAGCATTGTAAAAACACTCAGTCTGGAGGTATATTATATTTCCTTTTTTTGTGACGGTAATAAAATAATAAGAGTGAAAAAAACCAGTGCGGTGGTGTGCAAAAGATTTTTATAGACAAGTTAGGTTTAACCAGCATTGCCCCCAAGATATGGTTGTACAGTGTCCTCATGGGCTTGTCCAAGTCCGGGCTAGCAGCTCTGTGACAGAAGGTTTACGTTGATAACTGGTAAAAGCCAAAGACACATCTGTCTTAAATCTTGCCCATATTCAAGGTTTAAGCACTTCACTTGGGGCTGCCTCCTCCTCTGCAGGTCAAGCAGTCTCTCCTGGTATCAGATAACTAAGCCCTTTTCTTCAAACCAAAAGTGATGCCAGTCCTCACCTGTAAAATTCAGTAGTGATATTTGTCCCCCGAATTTTGCAAACTCTGCCACTGCATCCCATACGCAACCTTCCTAAGCTTACCCAGATCCATTCACCAAGCAGTTGGGCTTTTAACCATCGCAACCATCAGAGGTCGCGTCCAGTACCACATTCCTCTAACCGTGCTGAAGCTTCCTCCAATCTGCAGCCTACATTTACACAAAGCCACGTTTTGCCCATCTGTGCTGATGCCAAGAAGACCATCCAGGTGCCACAGGTCTTTCCTGGCATCTGATCCTTAACCACCTGCATGTTAAGCCAACTGGATTCTTCCGATTTACTCGTTTACCCCAGAAGGTCCCCTCTTCTTGACAGTGCGTCTCTTCAGTTCGAGTTCATGGCTCTCAGCTGTGCAACCACAACGTGAGCACATCCTGTTCCAGATAACGTTTCCCTCGTTCACATGATGGCAGTAACGTTTCCCCTTTTCTAAAGGTAACGGTTTCAGTGATGCATCTTAACATTCATTCCCACCCTAAAGGCTGCATCGCACTGAGGTTTCAACAGCTGATCCCACGGATCAGTTAAAACACCCAAACTGGAGAACAAACTTGGACCTAAACCAACAAGTTGGTGTGAACATCCTTGTGGAATGAATTTTGGCATGAAACAGTGAAATCAAGTGAAGCAGGGATTGTACCCTGAGACTCCTTATTAGTGGACAGGACAGTGAGCTGGGGAAAGTGGTGTAGTCCCACCCTCCCTGAAGAACAATGAAAAATTACTCCACGCAACGGGAATTTTTTTAAAGGAAAGGTAGAATGCCAAATGCCACTCATCCCAGATCTCTGCTGAAAGCTGGGAGCTCAGATTCTGAGTGCTTTCAGCTGAGTTCAGTCCCTGACACTGCTTTCTGTACATTTCAGATGAGTGCCTTTATCACTAGGAATTTGGATAGAAGCGGACCTCAGAGTAACCTACTGAAATTAAAGTGGAGAAGGTTATGTGAGCTCTGAGTAACTTACTGAATTGCAGCTTTCCAGTATCTGAAGGGGGCCTACAATGGCACTGGGAGAGGACTTTTTACAAGAGCCTGTAGTGATAGGACAAGGGGTAATGGGTATAAATTGAAATCAGGGAGGTTTAGATTAGATGTCAGAAAGAAATTCTTCACAGAGAGGGTAGTGAGGCACTGGAACAGGTTGCCCAGAGATGTTGTGGATGCCCCATCCCTGGATGTCTTCAAGGCCAGGCTGGATGTGGCTTTGAGCAACCTGGGCTAGTGCAAGGTGTCCCTGCCCATGGCAGGAGGGGTGGGACTAGATGATCTTTAAGGTCCCTTCCAACCCAAACCATTCTATGATTCTACGATTCTATGAATTGAGCCCAAACCTCAAGGGAAGGGGGAAAAAAAGTGCCTAGTCTACAAATCTTGCATGGTGGTACATCATTCAGGCTTGTCAAAAACAGCACGCTTTGAGAAAATCCTAAAGTTGGACCCTCAGGACTGTGCCAAGAAATAGCACCTTTTTCTTTTCCTAGCGACGGAAGGTGGGCTCCCAAGACTGCAGCTCTGTCCCTCAGCACCTGATAAGGAAGATCCTTGATAGATAGCACTTACATCCTTAAAGGGTAAATTCTGACTGGCTCTTGAAATAGGTGAACTTCAGGCACTTAAATGCCAGGTTACATTCAGTCACAATGAAAAGCTGGGCATACTCAAAAAACAACCCCAAAACCAAACCCAAAGACAACACAGCCAAACCAAAATCAAAATCAGTTGGTCTGACTCACAGCACAGATGTCAAAGCACAGACTCCTGCACATTCTTAGAAGCATCCTGGCTTAAGCAACTAGATGCCCAACTCCTGCCAAAGCTCTATCATCATTTAGGGCTGGAAAAGAAAGCATTCAAAGTAAACCTCTGGCAGAACTCAATCCATCAGGTTTATCAGGCTTCACCAAAAGTGCTTACAGAACACAAAATCCAAACACAAAGCACAGCAGCCACCTTTTCTTCTCCCTAGAAATGGGTGTAGGGAAGAAATATTTGCTCAAATCCTAATGGCGAGAAGCTGAGAAGCCCTTGTCCCTGTGTAAATATTCCAGCCATCAGAAGATCTACACACTGCCCAAGACATCTTCCTTATCTCTCCCATTTGCTCCTGACCTCTCTAAGAGGCTGTGGCACTACGATTTAAGGAGACAAAGGCATTTTGCGTGCAGATTGAGTTCAGGTGCTGATTCACACACTCGGCACCAATGCTTTTTGCTGGCTCCAGGGGGCAACACACACAAGACTACAGAAACCTTAAAGCACCCTACAAAAACGTTTAGGCTCCTGGTGCAGGTAAGACGAGGTAGACAACCCCAAATGTCTCGTTGTAAAGGCACCTACTTTCTCCAAAGCCTGAGCAAGGTGTCCAAGAGCTTGCTTTATACAGCAAAAGTCATTATTGTAGCTCAAAAATCTGGAAGCAGCAGTCTGCAGCTGAGGAGTTATATGGGACAAAACCCATGCAGACAGGTAAGATAAAGGTTCCCCGATAACCATGCTGTAGTATATATCATGCTGCAGACTCTAGATTACTTCTCTGTTTTCTTTACACATTTTTAACTGTTGATTTAATTTAATTTTGCCATGGCAGGATTAGCAGGCAAGCTACAGAGGTGAAAGGACATTACATTAAGACAGCACATTAATCCTCTATCCCACCCAAGGCAGAAGCAAAACCAAACAAATAGCAGCTTCCTGGAAATTGAATTTCTGTTATCCAGATGTCAAAGATGTAATACCCCAATTACACAAACTATTGCCAGTGAAGCATGCCAGCGAATATGCAATGTAAATGGGGTGAGCAGAGAGCTGCAAAACTGCAGAGTCAGCATCTGGCTCTATGAGTGAGCGATAATTAGCACTGTGTGTAGACACTAATAAACATTTATGCCTGAAATTACAACTTTTAGCAGTGTTAATAAAGGATATATTGGCAATTCGTAGAATAAAAGGGTCTTGAAAAGAACGTCATATTAAACAATGGCAGGCGCTTCCTGTGCTTGCACAGAGATTTTTTTCCTCCCTAATTGCAAATGGCCACGCTACGTTGCTCGGAAATTAATCAACACAAGCACATACCTAAAAAAACTGGTTGTGTTTCTTTGGTCTCCCCATTAACATCATTGCTGTAGTCAGAGATCTTATATATCTCATGATGGTAATCTGGAATGAAAAACGATAAAAAAAATTAGAACTCAAGTGATCTGGAAAAAATGAACACTGAACACATTGCTACAGTTTTACTACATAATTTATCAATATATCTGCAGTTTATTTCATGTACATCAAATTAACCACAGAAAATGTGCTCTGTATCAGCACCTCCTAAAAAACCCTTGCTCACACTGGAGAGACTTAGCTCAAATATTTCACAGATTTTAGGGAATAGCTACGCCTGCCCTAAATTACTGTGTTCATTTTCACAGCAAATTATCCCACCAGATGCCAATTATCTGGCTTCTTGCTTTACAGATGGAAAGCAGATTTATAATGAAAACTTTACCTTCCCAGAGACCAAGGGAAACTTTCAAACTTCACCTCAATCACAACATCAGCAACATACATTAGGGCTGCCTTCAGGAGGCTCCAAGGAGACCTCATTGCAGCTTTCCAGTATCTGAAGGGGCCTACAAGGGTGCTGGGAGAGGACTTTTTACAAGGGCCTGTAGTGATAGGACAAGGGGTAATGGGTATAAATTGAAATCAGGGAGGTTTAGATTAGATGTCAGGAAGAAATTCTTCACAGAGAGGGTAGTGAGGCACTGGAACAGGTTGCCCAGAGATGTTGTGGATGCCCCATCCCTGGAAGTGTTCAAGGCCAGACTGGATGGGGCTTTGAGCAACCTAGTCTAGTGCAAGGTGTCCCTGCCCATGGCAGGGGGGGTGGAACTAGATGATCTTTAAGGTCCCTTCCAACCCTAACCATTCTATGATTCTATGACTCATCCAGGGGTTCTGAATTCTGAGGAAAGGAGGTTCAGGGACACCTTAGGATATTCACCTGTAGAAACTAACATCTGTGATGACCCTAAGAATAAACATTAGCATCTCAAATCCTGTAACATCTCTCAATATAAAATAAAAATAAAAATCACCATTTCTATTTGAAATAAAAGAATACTTTGCTGCAAAGTCCTCGCTGTAATCCCAGGCAGGTGTTCAGGAAAACCAGAACTTTGTTTACATGTGTGTACAGAGGGAACAGTAAGCCCAAGAAAAAAGAAATGTCTAAAGGCAGCTCTCCTGGATGCTATTTCTGACTCTGCTACTGGCACACACTTTGTCCTTCGGCAAATCGCTCAAGACTAAACAATATATTCAGTGTCTTGAAACAGCCACCTTCCCACAACTCCTTTAACACCCTCCTCATTTCCAACGATCTCAGCTACTCCCCTCCATAAACTGGTTTTTATGTTTATCCGCCTCACAAAAAGCGAGGCAGAGATTAACTCATGGAAGAGCACTTTGGGAGACTCACTGAAAAGGCACAACGGAAGCGGAGGGCGGCATGAGCAGCTCCTCCTCCCACGAGCAGCACACCTGCACCGCTGGCACAACAGCGACGGGATCGGAAAGGTCTCCTGGAAGCCAAACCTTTTTTTTGTTACCGTGCTGTTTATTTGTACAGCACAACTGTCTCGAGGGCACGAGAGGAGGAACAGCCCAATAAGTAAACTAGAGTCAAGCCAAACGTAGCGATGCAGAAGGAAGAAAAAGGCCTGGAAAGAAAATGAGGAACATCCCTTCCCCCCAACAGGGAGTGGGAGAGGTCAGCGCTGAGGTGCTACGCAAAGGGTTCCTCTGCCTACGGAGCACGCCCAGCGAGTGAAACGGGTAAAGGTGAAGTTTGAGATACGGCGCCGAGGAAGTAAGGGTTCCGTAATACGGGATTTATGCCGCCTGCCTTCCACTGGCGGTCATGCTGAGGAAGGGGAGTGATGGAGCGGCTGGGCGGGCATCTGGTGCCCACCACACTCCGCCTTTTCATCCTCTCAAAGGTGTCCAAGACCTGCTGGGAGCAAGTACGTGGAAACTAGGAATTAAATGACTTACAGCCTCACAGCCCTAAGATAGATTACATGTAGTTTCTTCTCCAGCGCTTCCCTCCGTACATCCAGCTGGTCACAATACTCTTCTGATCTTAAAGTCACCATATTTCACCCCAGAAGTGGCTGCGCTTTAGTGCAGCAATGGTTTTCCTCTCAATCTGGTCATTATTATCACCTCTATAAGGTGCTCTGAAGTTTTTTTGGGGACAGAATAAACGCTCTACGGGCACGCATCGTTAGCGGATGGCATGTTACCAACGAATGCACGCAGCATACCCTTTTCTTTTTGGTTTCCTTCTTCTGCCTCAGATGTCACAGCCCAGGCACTGCAAAATCCGTATCAATTTCACAACAGTACACACTAAACTGTGACATTACGGAATGACTCCAGCAAAAGGCGAAGACCAATTAAAAGAGACAACTATTTATACATAATTATCTTTCTAATCAACTGTGAGAGAAAAAGAGTATGCGAGTGCAGACTCACATGCAAAATGTGATTTTTATCTCCTCCATTCTCAAAGTACAAAGATGTAATTTTCTCTCTAGGATGTGCTTTTAGTGTAGCTTTATATTTGACTTCCCACATCGAGAAAGAGACCCCAGATAGAATAAGAATTACTAGTAATGTACCATCATAAATGAATTTGCATATTAAACCAAAGTTTTACACTGCCTGATATACTGAGGCATATCTAAACCTGTAACAAATGGCAACGGAGAACTGGCGAAATAGTCATCTATTTCTGCTACACATCTCCTTTTTACAGCCCCATTAGGACAGAAATAAAACCAAGTCTTCAATTTCGGTTTTGCTTTTCCACAGGTTTCACTTTCAGCCCCCCAGGCTCCAGCTCAGTCCTGCGCTAACTCCGAGTCGGGAGCGTGTTCGCTATCAAACCCCCAGAAACCCAACCTGTTCTCCATCGAAATTAACCCCCTCGACAGGTTTGCTAATGCATACCGGCCACCAAAACGTTTCAGCCAAGTCTGACGGGTTACTGCCCCTCCAGATTTTAACAGGGAGGATGTGTGATGCTCCAGACCCTCCCGTGACGATACAGCAGTCATTATTTACTATTCCTACCAAGTGAGTTTCTTTCCATCCTTACATTTCTTGTAAAATTCAGGGATTTTGCTGAGCG